TCTCAGGACGAGGCTGCTTACATGGAACTTTCCATTCACCTCGTGGAGAAAACATTCTCAGGGCAGAGAATCATGCTAGCACAGAACCAATATGGACGCTTTCTACAACTTTCCCTGACTACATATCCCATTCATAATTCATATTTTAACGTTAACAATCTATACCATGACATTCAAAAATTAATAATAATAAGTTATCTCTTTACATCTCATTTCTTTGTACCTTTCTGGGTCCCAGTTAGAGGCCTCTGCTTCTTTGGTGAGTTTAGGATCACTTCATTTTGGTCCATTTTCTCCATGTATGATTCCGGAAAATGAACCAAAGTGAGGCTTCGACTGTCAAGGCCTCTGTGTTTTGAATTTCTGATATCGTGAAGCTGCTTAAGAAGAGAGCTGCACAAAAATGAAATTCTTCTTTTAGCATGCATTGGGGCAGTGCTGATGCGCTGCATCGCTTATCCAAAAATTAGAAAACTTCCTTCGGGAAGCAGGAGACAGAAAGAGGAAATGAAGGAGAATTTTCTTTTCTTGTGACTTTTCTAAAACCTCAGGTCAAGAAGCCCGCCCACAGCCCAATCCACCACTGGTCTGTACCCAACCTGTAAGACAAGGTCTCCTTAAGCCTCTTAAGAATATGGGAAATCGATAGTGGAAAGAGATGGGCCAAAATAGGGCCACTTGAGGTGCTTACACCATTTGGATGTGAGGATCCTTCTTCAACGTAGTGAGTGGCTCAGGTGGAGAGGACTGTCTGTGTATCCTCAGGGGCATTAATCAGACAAGCTAGCCAAACCAGAAAGCATCACGTGAGCCTAGATTCATCGGATTCCAGAGCTGGGATGTCCAGTCAAAGGGATCTGCCAGCCCAGGGGAACCTCCACAGCTCAAGCCTTTCTGACGGGAGGCCATCCAACTTCTGCCAGCAACAAATAATCTGGCATTTTCAGAGGTGATCCACTCCATTGGACTTGGAGCATCAAGATGTGCGGAGGATCTGTTTGTTTGGGTTCTACCTTCAAGGAGATGTAGAATACACATTGGCTCCATTTTCCATGTGCCCTCGGCGGCTGTCGTTACCATCTGTCACTTTTTCAAGCAGCACCTTTTTTTTAAAAAAAATGCTTCTCAGCTAATGGAGGAAAAGAGAGAGGTCCCACTGTGGGGGCTGCGTGTTCTCGCTTATCCCAGGTCTCTTCCAGCTCTTTCACAAGAACGGCACGTTCTCTCTTCCAGGGATACCCACATTCTAGAGCAGAAGCTTCTGCTCCCTCCCAGGGTTGGCTCAAGCTCCCTGGTTGCCTCAAAATTGGGGGTGTGGACTTTTTCCCCTCTTGCTGTCCCAACTGCCTTTGAGTGCTCAACCAGAGGCAGAAGAGGAAAGACAGCAAGAAAGCAACAACGGGCAGCCCTTATCCCAGGAGGGTCCTTCTTGAGGTTGTCTGCTGTTGGACAGCTATTTCAAAACAGCCCACCTTGGGTATGGGATGGAAGGGGGGTTCAAGAAGGGGCCAAGGCATTTGTTGGAGACTCACCCTCTCACCAATGGCCAACACCTCCTACATTATCTCAGACCCAAAGACCTCCTCCAAGCCAGGCAGTTTGGAAAGAGACTGGCCTCCTCTTCCACTTTCTTCTTTTCCCCCAAACGGAGGAAACCCCTCAGCCTCCAGTGGCAAGGGGGCAGTGAGTGGGTAGGAGTTGCCACCACCGGGATGCTTTGCTGCCTGAGGTTCTTGCCTCCCGGGGGCTCATGGCATGGCTGGGTCTGCTCCAGCCGGTTGCAATGGTGTGGGTCCCGGGGGTCAGGAGACGGGGGCTCCACCTTCTAGTCCCCCCCCCATGCCATGAAACATGCACAAGCACACTCTTGGCAGAGCGGGACCTGCCTGGCAGGTGTGTTGTGGGGAGAAACGGAGCATCAGGAAAGCCATGTGCCGGCCTTTAAACTCTCCAGAGGAAAGGCAGGAGAGACGTGGCCCCCTTCGCTGGCAATCTTCAAGAAATCATTAAAAACCCTGCTATTTAGGCAGACCTTTCAAAATATCTCACCTGTGGAAACAGACGAGTAACACAATCTCATTACTACCACCTTAAATGCCTTATGTATGTGAAATGTATCTTGATGTATTTCAATGTATTGTTTATTTTTATTTCATTATTTTTTTTCTCCAGCTTCTTTCTTGAATTTTTTAATTTTTCACCATGTTTTAGCATGTGCATCTTCGTGTTGTAAACGGTTCAGAGTGGCCTTCAGCCAGGTGGATGGTATAGAAATGAAACCAGCAAACAAACAAACAATGAAGATAACAAAGAAACAAAGAAATAAATAGTGGTACCAGCTTTTCACAAAGCCAGTACTCTACATAATGGCTCACCTCGGGCAATCTGAACTTTTTCAGGGACCTGAATGCAGAGAGCCAAAAATATTGTTAATATTATGGGTAAGAACTGATGTCCTTTAAATTCAAATTTAAGCCTGTGCTTGTAACAAGCGTCTCTTGGGAACGGCTTTCTGCGCTCATCTCTCGTAGGGGCTTCTTAGCCTCGTGCTGCAAAGGGGACCAGGATTACTCAAGGCTGAAATATTTGAGGCTACGCTCCGCCCCACGTGCCTTGTGGCCTAAGGTTGCTGACCTGGCCTGGAGGGAATCCAAGCAGAGGGTATGATCCCGAAAGGCAGGGTGGTGGGCAAGTGAAGCAGCTGCTTCTCTGAAAAGGTGGACTTCCTTTTTCTACATATTTGCAAAGAGATGCTTAAGAGATGCAGAAGGCAGAAAGCTATTTCCTGGGGTTGGGGTGCAAAAGGAAGAGCTATTTTGAGTGCCCATGAGCATCAGGCAAATACTATGGAAATACTGTTTCTTGGGGAAAATAATGGGTCAGGAATTAGGGGGTAAATATAGCACTCTTGCATTCCTCTCCAAAATTACATCTCTGGGGGAATTTCTAGCACCCATTGTCAATTCATGGCGAGCCTGCCTCAGCTGGCAGCCGTGTAGGAAACCATTAACACATGCTTTGATTGAAGAGGAATGCATGAACTGAGCTGCATCTGTCTAAGAAAAAACGGGTTTTTCTCCCTATGGTGGGGGGGAATGGAGTCCCAGACCCCAAGGTCACCCCAAAAAGCAACCGAGCAACAGCGGGAAAATGTAACTGTTTTCATACACGATCTCATTGCACAAAGGAAACACTGCTCCGTTCGCCTCCGTTTTTAAATAATTTAGATCTTACTGATCCCCCCCCTCGATTCTTTTCAATTTTTAGCCGCTTCTGGTTCCTCCCAAATAAGTTTAATTTTACGCTTCAGTGACACCCATTTCCTAAGACTTTTAAAATTAATTCTTTTTTCCCCCCATAGTCCATGACTACTTAAAAGAAAAATCTTGCAAGTCCTTGGAAACATGGGGGTAACTATTCCTAGGAACAAGAAGAACAATATATTTTTTTAAAAAAAGAAAGGAAAGAAAAAAGTCTCATATGCACCCCAGATTTCTGGATTCCATGAATTACCATTTATTTTTCAATAGTTAAAAAAAGCATCCTTAATAAAATTTCAATAGTTTAAGAAACCAGTGTCCCCAGACCCTTTTTTCTTTTCTTTTCTTTTCTTGTATGGATTTATGATTCATTAATCCAAAACGCAGAATTTCATTTGCTCTAGAGGGAAAGCTGGCTCCCTCACCCCCTCATTCACCCATCCTTAAGACCTTGTAGCCTTTCCTCTCACAGAAAATGTCTCTGTCTTTCTCTCTTACACACACACATATCCAAGCATTTGTGCCTCCAAGATGTCCTTCGGTGGGAACAAACGGGAACAATGAAAGCGGCATGGGGGGCGACGCTCACCGTCTAAAGGTGACCTCCTGCTTGCACCTCCCGGCCTCCCATTCCTGCCATATACTAACTCACCTTCTGATGACACTTCCCACCACTTATAAAACCTGCCCTTGGGCTCCTGGGACCGACGTCCAGGGCAATGAATCTATGGAGCAGCCGAGAGTGTTTGCGGGCAGCAGCTTGGGAGAGGAGCAGATATTTATCACACCAAGGGCTTGGATTCTAATGGTTGCTGTGGGTTTTTCGGGCTCTTTGGCCGTGTTCTGAAGGTTGTTTTTCCTAACGTTTCGCCAGTCTCTGTGGCCATGGGCATCTGGCTTGGATTCTGCCTGAAGCTCTGGTGGTCCAGGAATGCATCTGTCACAATCAGCGCGTTGGTCTTTACAGGGTAGCAAGACTGCTCGCTCACCTGCCTAGAAACTGAATTCAGACTTTATAACAGGGTACCGATTTCCTGCAAGACACCTGCCAGAACCAGGCCATCGATAGCTCAAGGGTCTGCTCCTTCCAGCGGCACATTTGTCAGGACTGGGCTTCGCTGCTTTGGTCTGCTGTTTGCCACGTAACGTGGCTGCCCATCCTTTCTCGAGGTGAGGAAAAGGTGAGCTTGCCCATCCCTCTTTGGGCTTGTGAGAGGAGTGCGGAGGGTGGGGGTAGGGGAAATATTTTGGGGACAAAATCCAGGTCCACCGTGGCTGCAGTTGGGGTTGCACATCCTAAGGAGAAATAAGGTTGAGAAACCAGGCAGATAAAAGCAACGGAGAGAGGCTTTGGAAGCCTTTGCCAAAAGGAACATTTAATTGCAAACAATGTTGTTTCAAATGTATTAGTATTTTCCCCATTCAGTATTCATCGGTTTTGGGGAAGAAGAAGGCAATCTTCCTTCCTTCCTTCCTT